TCCTGGGACAAGATTATGCGGCCCCACCATCCACAGGCGTGCAAGTGCACGGGACAGAAGGCCTGGAGGGCCCTGGCCCACCTGCCTGGCATTATCCTGAGCTGCTCCAGCCACAGGACATGTAGGGCAACCCATGGTGGTCAGTATGAGTGACCGCTTGAGCCTGGGGCACCATGAGGACGACATGCGTGACCCGGGAGGAACAAAGAACAGGCAGGAACACGGATGCCTTCGCACTTTGGCAGGTCACTACCATGCGGCTGCTGACAAGAGGAGCTCCTTCACTCCTGTTTTATAGGCGGGATATTGGGGCCAGAGAGCGAACGCCCCGTCTCAAAGTCCACCCAGTGCAGCGTTAAAACCCAGGACCCTCAGCCAGTTTGGCTCAGTGGATAGAGCGTCGACCTGTGGACTGAAGGGTCCTGGGTTCAATTCCGGTCAAGGGCACGTATCTCGGTTGCAGGTTCCCTGGCCCTGGTCTGGGTGCATGCAGGAGGCAACCAATAGATGTGTCTCTCTCACGTCGATGTTTCTCTCTGCCTCTCCCTCTCCCTTCTGCTCCCTCTAAAAACCAATGGAAACATATCCTCAGGTGAGGCTTAACCAAACAATCAAACAAACAAAAACCCCGGGGCCCTTGCCTCTCGGGTGAGACTAAAAGGGACGCAGAGACAGGATGTCGCCCTGGGAAGTGTCTCCTGCTTCCGCCCATGGACTTCCAGCACATTCTGCAGCTGGAGATCATGTAGTCTTGGGTAGAATGGTCCAGAAACGAGTGCAGCCTTGTGCATTGGAGCACAGCCTAGTTCTTTAACTGACAACCCCCCCGGCTGGGAACTGGAGACCTGGGGGAAATTGCCGGATCGCTTGCTAAAGGCGTCCGTTCTGTGCCCCTAATGGACTGTCTCCCCTGAGCACCAGGACATGCTGAGCCAGGTCCCCCCGTGATCCCGAACCACCAGGACAGAGGAGCAGGGCCAGGGTGCCTGATGAGTGAGCAGGTGCCGGCGAAGACTCCGGATCGCTTGCTAAAGGCGTCCGTTCTGTGCCCCTATCCGTAATGGATTGTCTCCCCTGAGCACCAGGACGTGCTGAGCCAGGTCCCCCCGTGATCCCGAGCCACCAGGACAGAGGAGCAGGGACAGGATGCCTGGTGGGTGAGCAGGTGCCCGTGAAGACAGCTGGGCCACCGGAAGGCCTCGACGCAAACCCCAGATGGAGCGAGGTGTTTTCCTGAGCGAGGCCCTGGGCCTTGACACAGGAAGCATTCCGGAAGGCCTGCAGGCACCCAGGGCAGCCATGAACCTGTGGGGTCAGTGCCACTGACTTCCTGGCTGTCCACTCACGCCCATGGGAATGTGTAGGTGTGCCATAGGTTCTTGAGGTCAATGAGCAGGCATAGGTCTTGACTCAGGGCAGGAGATGAGCCTGCAGGCCCAGAGGGAGGGAGGGGCTAACCCAGGGGAGGGGTAGTTGCTCGGGGTAGGAAAATCCTGGTTCTCCAGGATGAAATCACAGTCTCCCTTAAACCAGAGGAGCAGCTGAAGGAAGGTGGGGAGCGGTTGGCCAAGGGCCAAAGTGGCCACAGGACCTGCCTGCACCCCCCAGTCTTTGCTTACCTACGTCATCCTCCTTCCCCTACTCCTTCAGCTCCTCATCTCTCAGGGCAGCTGGGGGGGTTCCTGTGCCCAGACTCTAGACCAGTGATGGCGAACCTTTTGAGCTCGGCGTGTCAGCATTTTGAAAAACCCTAACTTAACTCTGGTGCCATGTCACATATAGAAATTTTTTGATATTTGCAACCATAGTAAAACAAAGACTTATATTTTTGATATTTATTTTATATATTTAAATGCCATTTAACAAAGAAAAATCAACCAAAAAAATGAGTTCGCGTGTCACCTCTGACACGCGTGTCATAGGTTCGCCATCACTGCTCTAGACTCTACCTCACTGCTTCCCCGTGCTCCCAGAACGGGCACCGGTATCTTCATCCATCAACCGGTTCCTACGAGGTGTGCTGAGGGCCTTCTCACACCCCTCGCACCCATGTGGCTCATATATTCCTTTACTGCAGTGGTTCTCAACCCTGGCTGCACATTAGAATCACCTGGGAATCTTTTTAAAATCCTGATTTCTGGGCCTCGTACTCTGGAAATTCTGTTTCTTTGTTATGGGGTG